GGATACGAACTCGTGTTCTGTTTCATAACACCAGGGGCGAGGTCCCACTAGCAAAGAGGGTTGGATTGAAAGCCTGAATCTGGACGTTTTTGTGGAAAGGTGCAAGAAATCGAGATTTCAAACGAACCCAAGTCAGCATGCACTTGGCCGTCTTCATCGTCGAGGTGCACACCATGCAATTGCGAATCTGCACATCCAGCCACATTTTGACCGGCGGCCTATCGTCTTTCTTCAGTCAGCAGAACGCGCGAGGTCATTCTCGCTGTATCTAGACTGCTTGTCGCGCCGAGTACAGCTATAACGACAGTGCGTTCGATTCCGTGGAACACGGTGGACTTTCTGTTTGTTTGTTTTTAACGATCACCGTGCTGGTCTTCTTTTCTCTTTTTTTTTTTTTTTTTTTTTTTTTTTTTTTCTTTTGTTTCTTTCGTTTTCTTTTTTGGCTTAGGATCCATTTTTCTATGGTTATTAAAAGCAGAGGCTGTATCCGCAGGGGCGAGGTCCGACTGGCATAGAGGATTGAATTGAATGCCCGAATGTGGACGCCTTTGCGGAGAGGTGCAGAAAATCGCTATTTATCTGCTCTTCTGCATCTCCGCTTAAAACCCATCCAGATTTCAGGCGCTTAATCCTATCTTCTTTGCTAGTAGGACCTCGCCGCAGAGCTGCCACCCAATCAAAGGGAAGCAAACCCCTCCCCTTCTGCTGGGAGATAACCGAGCTCCCGCTGGGAACATGTATGTCGTCGGTAATTTTTGTCGTTTTCTAAAGAGATCGAGATCCGGGTCCTGACTCAGATCGGTATCTGGACCCGCACACACGTGTCATGCAGAGAGCAAATCTCATCGTGATCGACACGACGACGCAACACACACAGGAGGAAGGAGGAATCTGACGCGTCACACTCACATAGGAGGCAGAGTTGGAGGTGGAGGTGGAGGTGGAGGTGGAGATAGAGATGGAGATAGAGATGGAGATGGAGGTGGAGATGGAGATGGAGGTGGAGATGGAGATGGAGATGGAGATAGAGATGGAGATGGGGAGTCAGCCAATCACGGAGGGGAGAGGTGGAGAGGAAATCAGCTGGGGGATTGACGAGGAGAAGATGGGGTACCTACCCCATGTGACTGAATGGTCCACAGATGTAACCGTCAATCAACAGATCATAAGTTCGAATCCTGACGCGATAAGATGAGCATAAGATCCTTGGGGGATGATCCCTTTTTAAAAAAAAGAAGAAGATGGGCCACTGGGGTAGGCGGGCGAGGAGGAGAAGGGGTTGAAAGAGGGACGAAGAAGTGTCAACAAGGAGGAAATGGAGGAAATGGAGGAAACGGAGGAGATGGAGGAGATGGAGGAGAGGACATGGAGGAGATGGAG